TAATTAAAGTAGGACTACGGTTACTTGGGAATGTCTGAGTGGGAACTGTTACTTCAAATGCTATAGCAATATAATCGATCAAATTTTGTCACACAAATTTTTATTCTAGTTCTTTAGTAGTTCAACTTGACAATAAAGTGTGCTTCTTGTTCTAGGAAATGCAGCATTGCACATATTGGTAATCTAACGACGATAGGAGCNCACATATTGGTAATCTAACGACGATAGGAGCTTAGAATTGCTAAATTTCAGTCTCTTTACACAATAAACTGATCAATTAGTAATATTTTAGAGACGAACACTGGGTAATTCTTTGCTAGTTCAGTTATTCAGAAGATGATGTTAAGAAAGGCTCAGCTAATAAGTTACAAGAATGTGATCATGTATCGAAGAAAAGCGTGTTAAAAAGAAGAGAACTAGAGTTTTTTTTTTGTTTTTTTACCCCTACGGAGATTATTTTCACAATCATGTATGGAAATAAGTTTGATGAACACGTTCTTCGGTACGATGAAATGGCATCGAAGTAGAATGTGGAGTACATTGCTTGAGGTAATTTTTTCCATAACTGAAGAATTCAATTCTTAGAATTGGTCTAATCTCATTCTTCACTTTTAGCAAATATATCACTGAGCATTAATGGGGATTTGTATAATTTGTTACTACAGGAGCTACTCAAAATTCAATCAGAGTTGCTCAGGTAATCTGAAATCCTTCTCATGGATCTAAAAACGTTTTGAATATTCATGCTGCTAGCTTGTATGGAAGAATAAGTTGCATGTGCGGATTTTCAGTACGAACCTTTCTGCTTCATTCATCTGTGAGTTCTTTAAGGATGTGAATGTCCAAGACAAAGTATTTCTCTAAGGCCAACGTCTTATTCTATTGATTAACTATTTAAATGGGTCGTCCAGAAATTGATTGAGCGATTTCTACTATTTGGTTCAAGTATATTGACTTCGTCTTTGGAAATGAAATAGGGGCAACTTACAAAAATACACTTAAATTTTGAGGTTTTTTGGAAAATCATATGAAATGTATTTTTGAAGTAAAAAAGACTGTGTAAAATTATAAAAAAGTGACACAATATCACTTTTTTAAAATAAAGTGACACAATCTACATCTCTTTGTGAATGGGAACTGCTTTTATTTTGCTGTGAACAAAAAGATTTACTTTTTTCAGATTGTAACTATCAATAGCAAATACTAATAACTAAGACAGAACAACTCTCTCCCGCTGTCTCTCTTAGTTGATGTACTAAACAAATGAAGACAACTATTTAATGTCAATTGAATTTTTTTTTGCGCTTGTTGTTATTCAAAGGCTGTTATGGCTGAGGTGTTTGAAGGTGGTGGTGTTTACAATTAAAATTGTAGAAATGGTGGAAGCAGTGGCTTGTGGGTTGGGGTTGCTGTAGCGGTGGCAAAAAAGTTCGGAGGCTCGCATGGCTCGGGCTCGGCCACACGGGTCGACCCGTGTCAAGCATTAATGAAAATGAAAAAAAAAAAAAAAATTTAAAATTTTGATTTCAAATTAAAGCTGCCCCTGCTTGCTACTACATTGTAGCTGTCGTTTGAAAAAAATAAATAATAAAAATTGAAAAATTAGCCGTTATTGTTAACTTTTATTAGACGAGTGAAACCCATTAACGCCTATATTTTTATTTTTAATTGAATTTTAATTCCTCCCAAACAAGTTCTAAAAATGTTGAAGAAATAGCTTTAAAAATATCCCAATTGCCAAAGGCATCTGAAACACACAAAAGAATTTCCTGTAATTCTGTTGCCAAAAGAATAACTCGTTGATACCAATGGCGCACGCACACGATTTTTCGTCCTTTCATCTACAATATATTTAAAGTGGTGATGGAGGAAAACTTTTGAATATCACTTTTACTCTTACACATTTATTTATATGCCCAATATACCCTTGTGATTTAGAAAAAGAAAATAATAATAATAATAAAAAAATTGAAAAGTTGCATTAATACGTTGTGATTATTATTGACCCTTATTTAAAAGTTGTTTTAATTGACAGTTACATATTAATATACAAATATACAAAAGTTAGATAAAAATGGAATAACAAATGATTCAATTTATTACCTCTAAATAAAATAATTATTAATTATTATTGCTTGAAAAAATTAAGTCAATTAATTTTCACTAAACACAATTATTACTAATTATTAGTGTACAATTATATATAATTCACTACGGAATATTAAATGATTCAATTTATTTCCTCTAAATAAGATAATTAATAATTACTATTGCTTTCAAAAATTAAATCAAATAATTTTCATTAAACACAATTATGGCTAATTATTAGTACACAATTAATAAATATATTATTACATACAATTAAAAAGAAATTATGGTAATACTACCTATATAATTAACTTGAACAATATTACTTATATAGTTAATTTTTTTCAAACCTAATATTACAAATTTAAAATAATATTGGACAATCGACTTGAATAATACTTGATCAAAATTGGTAATGGAACATAACTTTATATAGATGATGACTTCATTAGCTTACCAAAAGAGAGAGTTATAACATGTGACGATGCTGAAATTTCGAAGTCACGCTTAATCAATGCAGCGTTCTCAAGTTGACGAAAAATGCATCTTCTTCTGATTACATGACACAACATGAAATTTTTTCAACAAAAAATAAGTATGTTGACTATCTCAATGACAAACTCATTGGGTTATTTCCTGGAGAAAGTAAAGAATTTGTCAGTTTTGACAAAGCAATAGATGATACAAATCAATTTTATCAAGATGAGTTTTTAAATATATTGCTGCCAAATGGTATCCTACCACATACATTAATCTTGAAAAGAAATTGTCTAATTATGTTCTTGAGAAATCTAGACTCATCCAACGATCTTTACAATGTAATAAGAATGTTTTGCCGTGATTTCAAGAAACATATTAGCCATATAGAAATAATTGTTGAACAGTGTGCTGAAAAATAAGTTTTCCTTCCACACATCCCATTAGTTTCAGCAAACGATGAAGGTTATCCATTCAAATTAAAAAAAAAAAAAAACAATTTACATACTTTTCAATGACCATTAAACAAGGCTCAATGACAAACAGTGCCTATTGTTGGAACATACATTTCTGAACATGTATTCTTTCATGAGTAACTATATGTCACACATTCTCGTGGAGTTTCAATGCAAACATCAAAAGTCTTGGTAAAAGTAGGAAGAAAAAAAAAAACGATGTGAGACATTGACAAAAAATATTGAGTACAAAGAAATGTTATTGTAATCATAACATTACATTTAAGTCGATTCAACATTTTCATATTATATACATAGCATGTGTTTGGCACTCATTTTTAAGAAATTATAAATTTTGGAATAGTGATTGATGAAAGAATGTGTGGTTGAAAAGTACTGAAAGTTTTTAGATTTGTGTGTAATATTATTTTATTTGGAGAATGTGTAGTTAAATTAAAAAAGAGAATTTTTTTTAAAAAAAATAATGGGTGCCAAACACCCTCATAATTTAATATATGTATATATTTTACAATTTTAATTTTCCATTTAACAATATTAATTACCTCAACTAATTTAATAACCGTATTGATACTTTTAAAACATTATGCATATCATTCATCTGATATATAAAACGTGCCAACCATTTGGTTACTACTAGTAATGTCAAAAAGTCCTTAAATACCAACTCAAGGCATGCCCTTATCACACTCGAAGTTTCGAACGAAGTTTTAAGTCAATGAAAACTTGTAGTTTGTTGAAGGCTGTGTACCATAATTTAACATCCTCAATTATTATTCTTACAGAAAATCAACCCCGAATAACGACAAATCTTGACCGTTTATAATTATTCACATCCTCCTCAGTTATTAATCATAAAGTGAATCAATCTTGAGAATGACTCCAATCTAACTTCTTTAGTTAGCTACTACCATCACTTTGTGCCCACGATCTTCTACAGTAAAGAAAGCATATGATTTGAAAACTTTGGTCGGAGAATTTCTGTCTCAATTGGTTCAAGAGAAACTTATTGAAGATTGTGTTGTTCGTGCATCTTCAATGATGGTGTAAAATAGAGATTTAGATCTTCAATATAGTCGGAAACACTAGGCAGTATTAAAGAAGATAAGAACTTCACGTATTGTAAATTGTAATGTTTAATCTTGTTTAAGACTAGTTTGCCCCCAACAACTGGTTTTCATGTTGTAGAGTGGAGTGTACAATAACTGCAGTTTGTCTCACTTGGGAGACTCTTTAAGTTCTTTAGTAGATTAGTTAAAATATGCTTCTGACTAGCTTCTTGACAAGATTGGCAGAAGAATTGAATAGGAAAAAGAAAAATAAAAATTCTAGAGGCTAAAAACAGTGGCATAACAGAGGTGAGGCAGGATTAATTAGATTCAACAGAGTGATTAATTTGTGGAAATTAGCAAAAAATTATTGTAAATCAAACTAGTAATTGTTTGTTGTGTGTTGGTCCAGTCAATTGAGTTGGTAGATTTTTAAACGGTCAAATTGTAGAAATCATCAAGGTCGAGTTCCGGCCATTGAGATCGATGCTTGCAGTCAAATGGATCTTTAGATAAAGAAATACTGCATTTTGTGGCTACTTTCGATGAGTTAAGACATCGGGAGCAAGGACATTATTGTTGTTCAAACCTTTGAATCTCTTTATGCCCTGAGAGATACACGCGCTACAATGGTCGGGACAAAGTGAGCTAAACCCGTCCTCACTTCGGATTGCTGGCACTACTTCTCTCTCGGGTGCATGCCAAATTTGACCTAGTTAGATGAATGACTCCAACAGCTTTCCAATGCAGCTGAATAATGAATTCATATTACAACATTACATGGTGCACAAAATGTTAAGGTACTATCATCCTAAGTTATAGGTAAGGTGAGTCGTACAATACTAGACATTGATCTTGTACATTGTACTATCCAATCATGTCCATTATTGCATATCGAATGGTGGACCAAGGGTCATAGGCGGAGCATTATGGATTGATCTTGTGTGGCACACTGCAAGATACTCATGAAGATATTCTCGTCGCACGGAATTCGGAGTTTCGAATCAGCAGTGAAATCATATACTTCCTGGGCTTTATCCAGCAATGCCTTGAAGAGTGGATGATCGAGTAAGGTCATTTTGATTACATACCTCTTGTGATACTCTCCTACATAGACTACCAAATGACCCTTTGGAACATCATTTGGAATTATTTTCTCTTCATGGATTGAAGGCCATAAACACCACCGGAAACACTTGTCACAGGCTGCAGAATCCAGGAATATGAGACCCATTTTTCGCCACTTTCTGATGCATATTTTGAAACAATTCCCTTTCAAGATATTCATCTCTTGTGCTTATATGTGTGTATGTATGTAAAAGTTAAGGAAGGATAGGCTTTGGATTTGGGGTGGTTTGCTTGTCAAGAATGGTTTATATAAGAGGAGAAAGAGCCAACATATTTTGGATTATATGGCGTGTAGTTTGTACCAACTCATCTCCCTCACGTGCAGATTGTCATGGATTAAGGGTTGATTACACTAATTGTCACTTTATGCAAATGAACATTAAAGTTATTTTCTTACTTTAGTAGCCAATGTTATATTAATGATTATTCGATTAGGAAAAAAAAAAAAAAACATTAAATTAAGTGCTAACATGTTAACAAACTTAATAATTACGCATCAACAAAATTCCTTGTTAAAAAAGTGTGGGTTTACCATACGATTGAAGCAAAAAAAAAAATCTGATAAAAAATAAAGTCGTATTACGTTTTCTATCTAAAAATGTTTATTTCCAAAATCCTAATTCTCCATTTCAGTTGGCTTGACATAATAAATAAAGTCATTTGGCGATACATTGGTACTTAAGTCTTAACGGTGAATCGGTGTAATATCTAGAAACTTGAGTGACTATTGACGAAAGAAAGTAACTCCATTGACCATTGACGCAACTAATCCTATAGATTAATGAATAAACCTCAACTTCAAGAGCGACATTAAAGAAACACGAGACCCTAAACTTCAAAATAATCTCAATGCGAGGTTTCTCGTTCACTTACAATTGCAGGCTTTTCACCGGGAATTAGAAGATGTTCCCACACCTCTCTTACATGATATTGGATATTGAATAAGTAATCAGTATGATTTCACAACAGATCACAACTTTATTAACTAAAGACAGTGATCCTTGAATTCATGATTTTTCTGAATTCACTTACAGTATTAAAAATCATATCGTTTGAAGTCGAAAAAGTAGGAAAAATAAATTTATTTATTTAAAATTTTATCTTGGACACAGGTGACACAATGCGCAGCTAATTAGAATGAAGTTATAATCATGCTTGGTGTACACTTTGGTCTATATCAAGTTCGACAGTTTGCCACGTCATTTGATAATATTTTTAAAAAAAAATAATTTTTCCTCCAACAATTTTTTTAAAACAAAGGCAATGTCAAGCATGATATACATTTTGGAGTGTACAAATGACATTTCCATGAAGTTAACCCTTGTTTGAACCTCATTATTTGACAGAGAATGTATTTTTAAATATTAAATTGATAGAGAATGTGTAGTTAAAAATAAGGAAAAAAATTTGAATTGCGTATAATATTATTTTATTGAAAATGTATGATAAAAAAGAAAAAGAAAATTGCATTTTAAAAATAATGGGAATCCGCAAAAAAAATGACGGCATGTTGTTGTCAACATATTAGTACATAACGTCCCCATTTTTCACTTTGATTGTGAAAAACGTCATTATCTTTTATTTTTTAACATTTTCACCATTATTTCCACATTTCATTGTGCATAAGGTCATTTTCATCCATTTTCTCAATTAAAAATTGTGAAATGACGAATATACACTTCCCTTTAAATAAAGCAAATGGAAAAAGAAAAAAAACTAATTGCAATCATAGTCCCAATTTTTTTTGAAAAGCGCAAATGAGTTCCAAATAAATTATTAAAATGGTAATTAGCACATAATGTCCATACATTTCACTGTTATTGTAAAAAAATGTCAATACATTTTATTTTTTTGATATTTTCACCCTTAATTACATATTTAATCGTAGAAATTATCCATTTTCATCAAATTTCTCAATAAAAACTGTGAAGTGACGAATATACCCTCATATTTAAATAAAAAAGCTAAAGAATTAATTGTAACCGTAGTTCCAATTTTATTTTATTTTTTAAAAAAGGTGCAAATGAGTCCCTAATAAATTATTTAAAAATTTTAATTTTTTTTAAAAAAAGTGCAAACGAATCCCAATTAAATTTATTTAAAAATTAAAAAAAATCAAAAAGTGTAAACGAGTCCGAAATAAATTACTAAATAATTAGAAATTAAAAAAAATACTTTTTATTTAAATATGAGGGTATATTTATTATTTTATAGTTCTTTATTTAGAAATTTGATGGTTTGCAAAATCAAATCTGTAATTAAGGGTGAAAATGCCAATAAAATGAAAAGTAAGGACATTTTTCGCAATAACGGTGAAAGATATGGATATTATGTACTAATTACCCTTTTAATAATTTATTTAGGACTCATTTGCGCTTTTTTTAAAAAATTTGGGACTATGATTGCAATTAATTTTTTTCTTTTTCTATTTGATTTATTTAAAGAGAATGATATATTCGTCATTTTACACTTTTTAATTGAGATGAAAATGACCTTTTACTTAATGAAAGGCTAAAATAAAGATAAAAATGCCAAAAAAATAAAAGATAGAGACATTTAATACAATAACAAAAAAAGGTCGGATAGTTACGTTACGTGCTAATTATCCTTTTAGAATTCACCTTGATACGAAAATGTACGAACAAAGACTGTGATCTTTTGAAGGTGTCAAAATTGGACCCCACCAATGGAGATTTGAGCAGATAAGATCTGAAAGAGGGATGGAAGAGATAAAGCTTCTTGGGCAAAGTGCAACACCCACTTATAAAATCTAAGCACACACTGTCTTTCTATCTTCGTATCTGTCTAGATAAGATCTGCTGAGGTGAAAAAAAAAAAAATAATGCTATATCTACCCTTTTTTCTTACAATATGATTGACATTTTCTATTACTTGGAGAAAATTTGTACAGTGATGTGATAGATGCGTTTAAAATCAAGAACGTAGAATCGTTATAATGTGAAACAGTGTAAATAAAAGTGCAAGAAAAAGTGTACATGCAGCATGATTGGTGAAAAAAAGAGACGTGAGTTTATACACATTATAATTCTTATCGGTTTTTTGTTACTTGTTATTATTGCTCTTCATAGTACACGATTAGACGTTTAATTCTCATGAGCTATTAATGCTAGATTAGATTATGGAAGAAATAGAAAGGGGTTGTTGACATTGCTAATATTGGTGTTTAAGACTATTCTATGGAAGGACGAGTATTCAATTTTAATTATTTTAATTGAAGTTGATAATGAGTCAACTAGCACAATGAATTAAAATGATGTAATTTGGCATTAAAAGCATGTTCAAGTGTCATTTTTAGCCAAAAATACATTATGAAATAATGATTTGATGGACAATATGTGGTTAAAAAATAAGGAAAAATTTAGTGTTTGCGAGTAATATCATTTTATTGAAAAATGTGTGATTAAAAATAAAAGAGAGAAAAATGTATTTTAAAAACAATGAAAACCAAACAAGGACTTAATTAATCTCAAAAGTGAGAAGTGACATAGTGGATATCCTTAATTGATAATTATTCTTGGACGTGGACGTGTGTAGTCTATTTAGATTTTAAAATTGCAGTTAATGGGCAAGTTATCATCTCGATAAGTACACAAATCTTGTACTGCCCGTACTACAATGTTATTCTTTTTGTAGACGACTTGTTCTCTGATTCAAGAAATGATAAAATCTCTTCACTCCGATTCTGACCATACTTCACAAAAGGGAGCTTTCACCCCAACCCGATCGGTTAGATATTGGGGATTGGATCTAGTCTTGCATTCTATTGTGTTTCAAGATGTGTTTAGTATTACATGTCAAACATATTAGTAACATTCTTTTTCCACATATTTTAAAGTGACATATTGAGGCAATGTCTTTAGTTATTGTCCAATATATTTATCCTTATATATATAATCCAACATGTCTGATTTATCTATCCGTATATATATAATCCTTTGACTACAAGTTCATATAAAGTGGCCAAAATGATAGTAATAAATCATATAGAATCAAATGATTCAAGATAAACTCAAATCATCTAATGATGTATTTTATCAATTTTTTTTTTTTGCTGATAGAGGGATGAAATGGTATAGCAACTCTACATTGGATCCATTCATAAAAGTATTGGATAAGAGATCTCAAAAATTCACAGCTAACGGTCATCTCGAACACTGACTATCGTCATCAATAAACACCATCATTACCCAACTGGAGACGTGTTTCTTAGTGACGTCAACACTTCCTCAATGGCCACTCCAAAAAAGATGAGTGACACATCTAATGTCGGCATCATATCACTCACCATTCAGAAAAGAGTATTGACTGCTTAATAGCAGGCAATCATAACCTAGGCACCATGCTACGTTTTAGGTGAAATTATGAGCTAATTGGTTGAACTCAATAACCAATAAAAATTCTTCAAACGGTATGGTGACACGCAAATCAAGGTCAAACACTGTTAGCATGATTTGACTAAGGACGACATGCTCTTGTTATTATGCCTATGAATAGAAATAATGTTCCCAAAAAGACGATTGAGCAAAGTCATCCTATACAATAAAAAATTATTCTTAGCCCTCATTTGGTGCACATTTTGAAAGTAAGAATGCATTTTTATTATTGATGATGTGGTTGAAAAAGAAGGAAAAGTTATTGATGTGATGAAAAATATTGTTTTATTGAAAAATGTGTGGTTGAAAATGAGTAGAAGAATGAAAATGAAAAAAATCATGTGGACCAAACAGGACCTTAATGAGAATTTTTCCTTTGTTTACATTTTTTCAGCAATTACTCTATTAAATTTCCTTTAAGGTGATCTACAATTGCCATGTCAGTTTTAATTGACTCATTTAGTAATTAGATTATTAGAACAGAATGTGTAGATAATAAGTGACTAATAAGTTGTGAGTAATATGAAATGTATATGTGGATAAAAAAAATACGTTTAATCAGCTTAAATCATAATTTAAGATTTGGCAAGCATGCTCTATTAATATGGTGGTTTTGTTGGTAACAGCATGTTTGCGCCTCATTTTATCGTAAAAATACATTTTGAAATAGTAGATTGATGGAAAATGTATGGTTAAAAAAATAAGAAATTTT